GATGGAATCAGTGTGCAAACTTGGGTCAGGTGGCAGGAAGAACCTCCACAGGCTGGCCCTTGGGGCCTCCTGCCATGGATCCACTGTAGGCCCTGCTCCTGACTCCTACCTGCAGCAAGGAAGCCTTATACCAGCGGCCTACATAACTGAATTTCACTTTTGGTTTACCCAGGTCTGATGTTCAAATCTGTTCCTACCCACATGGCAGTCTTCCGCATATCCACCTCAGGTGCACCCCCACCCCTACCCCATTCCTCCACACTGCTCTCAGCTTGAATTCATGACTCTTGGTCAATTCTGTGCAAATAAAAGGTGTGCCTGGCAGCCATTCTTCCATGGAGTTGCTGAGTAACTAGAAAACAAACCTGAGGGAAGAGGCAGGAATCGGAAGCCCAGTGGTTCCCCTGACTCACTGCCCATGTACGGAGCTTCCAGCAGAGGTATCTGCCCTTACCTAACCCTGCAAGACCCTGTCCCCACTTCTGCACTTCTTGGGTAGTCCTAACCCCAGGTCCTATCACTGGATGAGTCACCCTAGATTTGAGAGTGTTATAGTAAAAGGAAAGAGAAGTTTCATGTAAGGGAGGGAAAAGTCTGGGAAAGGCTTTCCCGAAGAATGAGACTTTGGAGTTGGTTTTGTTTTTTTCTTTAAAGATTTATTTATGCATACAAGAACTGGGGTATAGGTGAGAGGCGCGGGAGGGTAAGAGGATCTACCAGAGATAAAGCACAGAGCAGAACAGGCAGACTGACCGAAATACACTGCTGAGGGGAGCAGCGGGCGAGACAGGAGAGGTCTGCCGCACTATGTGGGTAGCCGGGAATCGAACGCATGCTGCAGAGGCTGCAGACAGCTTCACAGTGCAGCACTCACCCACTGTGCCACTGGAGAGGCCCTGGAGTTGAGTTTTAAAGAAAAAGCAGGAGTTTGCTAAGAATAGGTAGAGGGAAAGGGAATGAACATCCCAAATAAAGAAAGTATTTTTTCCCTGCTATAGCCTAGGAAAATGCCTAACACTGAACAGGTACTTTAAAATACTGGTTGCATGAATGAAAGAATGTTGATGGAAAGTATAGCTGCTCTGAGGAACTTGGAGAAGGGGGCGCTAGGCTTAGGAGTGGGAGGCTGGATAGGTAGGTGGGGACATAATTGGCGGGCTCCATGGTGTCAGAAGGATTTATTTACTCATTTAATACCTGTTAAGTGCCTACCGTGAACTAGGCAAAAGCTAGGCACTGGAAATTGCTCACAGACAACTACATACCAGGACAAGATCTAAAAGTATAAGTTAGCCAGGTAATGAGGGAAGGGAGCAGCATGTGCAGGGGCTGCTGTCCTGAGATGGACATTATAGAAGGTGGGCATTACTATTAGCAGGACTTGAGACTGAAGAAGACAACAGGGATAGATTGGGTAAGTCTTTGCAGGCTACACTAAGAATTTAGTATTTCATCTCAAGAGCTATTGAAGGAGCCTTCCAGGATTTTTTTGGTGGAGCTTGGGGGTGGGGCAATCTGCTCACATTGTGCTTTGAATAGACGCAGGTAACCCAGAGGAGAAGCATTGGCTGGGAAACTCTGACATGGACACCAATGGTGGTGTCAGAAGTGGGAAATTGGTAACTTGGGAGAGATTTAGGAAGTCCAGCCAAGAGGACTGGGGATCAGACTGTCCTGGGGCCTGGTCCAGAGACGTCAGGAAGGAAGCTTCCAATGGGGTGTCTGGTATAGGAGAAGCTATTGAGACCTAGAGGCAGAAGTGATTCCATTTTTGCCTAGTTGAGCAGAGCTCTGCTCCATAGGGTAGTTGCTGGGAGAACTTTGTGATTACTGAGGGAGTGAGTTCCCTGTCAAGCAGGGGTGTGAATAGCCTGATGCTCCCCTGCTGGGCTTCTGAAGGGATTGAGCCCGCAGAGCCAAGCTGCTCATTATGCAGGTAAGGGGGCATTGCTCAGGTAGCCTTGCCACTGCCAGCATCTGCTTTCCTACCACCACCACCACCTCCAGCACCACACCCTGCTAGGCTGTGTCAGAAAAGGGCAGGAGGGGCCTCCCTGGTGGCACAGCGGGTTGAGCACCGTTCCTGCAACCTCTGCAGCGTGGGTTCGATTCCTGGCCGATCTGGGAGAAACCCACATGGCACTGCAGACCTCTCTTGCCTCCCCCACTACTCGCCTCAGCAGTGCAGTGTCTTCAGTCCGTCTGCCTGTTCTGCTCCCCACTCTGTCTCTGGTGAATCCTCTCATCCTCCCATACCTCTGACTGTACCCCAGTTTTTATATAAATAAATCTTAAAAAAAAAAAGGGCGGGAGTCAAATTTACCATAGACTTTGTACCTGCCCTATTTCTCCCTGGCATTGCCTGCTATTACTTTTTGGGTGACTGGCCCAGGGCCCAGGACAATGGCCAGGGTCTCAGGTGTTCAGGATTCCCCATCCCATAGGCCCTGCTTGCCTGATTTGCCAAGCCATTACCTAACACCCACTTCCAATGGAGGCTGGTAGATCACCCTTCAGTTTACAGATGTGGAAACTGAGGTCCAGACTTCAGCAATATCCTCTGCTTAACATACATGACTTTATTTTATCCTCACAACCATAATATGAGGTGGGTACTATTCCCATTTTATAGACCAGAAGACTTGTTATGGGTCAAACCCTGGGGCAAGGAGATAACCCAGTTTGTGGGCCTTCACCTGTGCACTTAACACCAGACAAGGGGCCTCCCTGGTAGCCTAGGAGTTAAATCTCAGCACTACCACCACGGAGCCTGAGTTCATCCCTGGCCAGAGAGCTAACCTACATGGCACAGCAGACTCTCCTGTTTCACCTGCTGCTCCCATAGCAGTGTATTTCAGTAGATCTGCCTGTTCTGCTCCCCACTCTGTCTCTGGTGATTCCTCTCACCCCCACTTCTGGCCTACACCCCAGTTCTTCTACACAAAATAAATGAAAATCTTACAATAAAGTAATAATTCTTTAAAAAAAGAATACCAGACAAGATCCAAAAGCAGATACACTATGAGAAACCAGAAAAAAGATTTAAAAGGATTTGTTTACATATGGTGTGAAGAGTTAAGAGAGAGGTGATTTGTTGCCCAGCATGTGGCTAGATGCCATCTTTCCTAACCTGTAGAGTTTCCAATGACTAGGCCTGATAGGAAGTCAGCTAAATGAGAGAGCATCAGCAGCCTGTGTTACCTCTTTTAAAGTCCACATGGCAGCTTTGCCCTGCCCCTAGTTCCCAACTGCAGTCCCCATTCTCCCCTCCTGCCCCTTTCAGGAAATCAGAGGGTGGAGTTCCCTGAGTCAGGAAAGCGCCACCTTTCATCATCTAGTTGGCTATGTTGGACACCTACTAGCTTGAGGATTGTTTCTCATTGTTCCTCTCACAACTGAAGTCCAGAGAAGGGAAATCATTTGCCCAGAGTCCTACAGCCTGTCATGCATGATGTCAAGATTCAAGCCCTAGTCTGTCAGATTTCAAAGCTCTGTGCTTATGCCCTGACAAGGTAAGGAAGGGGGTAGTTGGGGGAAGGCACAGAGAGACACTGGCTAGGAGCCAAGGTGAAGCAGAAGCAGAAAGTGGGCAGAGAAAGGCCAAATCATGAAGACTAAATCGCATTTCACTTCAGTGAGAATTTGGGAAGGCTGCTACAAAGAGGAGAGCTGGGCCTCAAAAAAAATAAAAATGAAGGCGATGGGTGGAAGTTTGTGGCAGTTCCCTGGTGATTGCGCGCTGGGAGATGAGGTGTTTGCGGGCCTTCGCACGATGCCGTGATGCAGCATTGCAAGGGGAAGAAACAGCTCGCGTAAAGCCCAGGTGTGACCTTGTGTTTGCAGAGCAGACAGTGTCAGGGTGCGGCCGGGGCTCAATGTTCGCAGAGAGCATAAAGGAGACAAAAGTCAGAGGGTCTTGAACAAAGGTCCCGAAAGTCAAGCAAAGCCATCGATTTTAACCTAGGGAGCCATGGGCTATTTGCCAGCAAAACCGGCTCTATGTGGGCACGCCCCCCGGCGCACAAGCGGCCCCGCCTTTGCTCACGACGTACACTGTGCCCCACCGCATCGCTTCAAACTTTTGAATCGCCTCTAATTAGGCGCGCGCCTACTCTCCACCGTGGGATTGCTTATGTCGTTCCCGAAAGAGGTGCCCCATACCCTTGTCTGGCCCCAAGAGCGAGTCGCCCCGCCTGCGCACGCGCCCGCCCCCACCGGGACGTGACTCGTGGAACGTCCACTCCGTACGGCGGCGGCGGCAGAGGAGACGGGGACTGGGGCGGGGGGGGTATGGGGGCAGGGAGGTGAGCAGATAATGCGTCTGGCTTCTGCGGCCGTCTCCGTTCGGGTTCAGAGCTGGGACCGGTGCTTCTGCATCGACAGTTTGAGAAGTTTCTGCTGGTTTCAGAAGTTCCTTGAGTGTCTGAGAGCTCACTCCGGTGGTCTCGCCATTCAGGCACTTATTTAGCCAGCCATTCACCCTTCAGGGGTCCTCGCCGCCCTCCCCGCCGCTAATTAAGTGACGGACTCTGTAGCCAAGGCGACCACCCGATTGACAGACATGGTTACCAATCAACTTCCGGGAGCTCCAGTTTGGGCTCTCCCGGCGCGTGGCATGTGGTCCAATGAAAAAAGTAGAAACGCCAAAGGGGGCGGTAACGGGGCTGCCTAGGTTGTGGCGGTTCCCTGGTGATTGCGCGCTGGGGGTTGAGGCGTTTGCGGGCCTTCGCACGATGCCGTGACGCAGCATAGCGACAGCGTTGGCAGCGTGAGCGCACTCCTATAGAGGGAGCCCTTCGGTCACCGAGGTGGCGCGGCGTGGAGGCAGGTTGCTGTTTGAGGGTGCTCCCTCCAAGCCCTTCAGTGAGTGGGGGAGGGGCAGCGGACGACGAACGGTTTCTCTGCGCTTGCGCCGGTACCTCAGCCGTCCGGGGCTGCACGCACGCGCATGCCCGTTGCGCGCGGAGCCGCGGTGGCCGACTGCATTACGCGTGCGCGCAGAGGATCCCGCTGAGGAGCGGCGCTGGCGGACCTCTGGAGGGCGGCCCGTGACGTCGTGAGGTGCGCTTTAAAGTGCGGGCCGGGCCGGGCGTCGGAGGGTCTGGCCGGCAGTCGGGCTGAGCCTCCGCAGCGGCCCTCCGCGGCATGAGGTATTGCTGGCTTCCCAGCTCCCCGGGTCGTGGAGAGGGTGGAGGAGGAGAAAATCCTGTTGCCGCCACCGCTGCATGACCCGCCGCCCCTGAGGCCCTACCCCGCGCCCAGCCCCTCGACGTCCCCATCCGGGTCTTCCGGCCTCGCATGGGGGTCTGGCGTTGAGGACCCCCTTCCCTCCGGGGGTCCCGGGGCGCGTCCCCCGAGAGCCATGCCCGGCCGCCCCGCCCGCCCCGAAGGACCCTAAAGCAGCGTCGTGGGGCCATGGCGGCCGCCAGCGGTTACACGGACCTGCGTGAGAAGCTCAAGTCCATGACGTCCCGGGACAACTACAAGGCTGGCAGCCGGGAGGCAGCAGCCGCCGCCGCCGCCGCGGTGGCCGCGGCCGCTGCAGCCGCCGCCGCCGCCGAACCTTACCCGGTGTCCGGCGCTAAGCGCAAGTACCAGGAGGACTCGGACCCCGAGCGCAGCGACTACGAGGAACAGCAGCTGCAAAAGGAGGAGGAGGCGCGCAAGGTGAAGAGCGGTATCCGCCAGATGCGCCTCTTTAGCCAGGACGAGTGCGCCAAGATCGAGGCTCGCATCGACGAGGTGGTGTCCCGCGCCGAGAAAGGCCTGTACAACGAGCACACCGTGGACCGGGCCCCTCTGCGCAACAAGTACTTCTTCGGCGAGGGCTACACGTACGGGGCTCAGCTGCAGAAGCGCGGGCCGGGTCAGGAGCGCCTCTACCCACCGGGCGACGTGGACGAGATTCCCGAATGGGTGCACCAGTTGGTGATCCAGAAGCTGGTGGAACACCGCGTCATCCCAGAGGGCTTCGTCAACAGCGCCGTCATCAATGACTACCAGCCCGGCGGCTGCATCGTGTCTCATGTGGACCCCATCCACATCTTCGAGCGCCCCATCGTGTCCGTGTCCTTCTTTAGCGACTCCGCTCTCTGCTTTGGCTGCAAGTTCCAGTTCAAGCCTATTCGGGTGTCGGAACCTGTGCTTTCCCTGCCGGTGCGCAGAGGGAGCGTGACTGTGCTCAGGTAACCCACCTGGGAGGAGGGGGCAGCCCTGCATCCTGCTATCTTAGCTGCTCCTGATGACCCGAGTCAACAGCCAATAGGAACCTGCGCTTTTTACATCTCCGACCTATTCCGCTTGTAGCAAGGAGGGGTCAGAGCAGAGGAGGGGTCTGCCTTTTAAACCGTGTAATAAGAAAGCAGTGAGGGATCAGGAAGCTATAGAGAAGTCTATGTCCTGAAGGCAGGTTTGATGTGATCACCAGCTGAGAATCTAAAGGCATCTTTGCAGAAAACCAAGATTTTAAGAGCCTCTTTCTCTTTGTGACTTTAGTGAGTTACTTTTCCACTCTGGGTCTCCATTTCCGAATTTTTTATTTAAATAAGTTTTCTAAAAGTCTTCCCAACTCTCTCATTTTGGTTTTTTTAACAGAGGAAATATTCCTGGATTCCTTAACAGAAAATACTTAGAGAGGAAGGCCCTTGAGAGTATTTAATTGATACACAGCTCTCTATTCCCAAGAGGAAGAGGGACTTCCCTGGAGTTGAATAGTGCTTCATAGATTAGTGGCTGGGCTAGGAATACAGTACTGCACACTTAAAATTAAGCCCTCTTTGGCTGCAGAAGTGTTCGTCTTTTGTAAGAATGTGTCGCTTATTATGACAAATTAAATGAAATACAGCTGGTCATTTTACCTGGTATTTGGCTGGTAGTTATGTCAGCAGCAGAACTTAGGCTCTTGGCCTATTTTGGATCCCAGATCCTGCTGAGAATTAGCTCAGTGCTCTGGCCCCCAGAAGTCATTGCTTGCTGGAACACCTTTACAGAGCATTTGGAAGTTGTCTCCTTTGGCCATGAAACAAGTCTAGCAATGTATACCAGTAATCCCCAAAATCTCTTAGGATATCTCGACTGCAAGTGTTCAGAGTGGCTTGGTTGACCACCAGATTCTAGCCTTGGATCAGGATACAAGAGGTTTTGTTGTGAGCACCTTAATCTCTGAACTGTGGTCAGTGCGATAGACCATGGCCATGAAGAGAAGTGCTGTCCCCGGAGCCCTCTGACTCGCATGAGGCAACTCATTTATCTCATTTGAGTTGAACAGCTGAGCCTGCTTTCTTATCAGGATAGCAGCAAAGCCTTGTGATACACAAGGTCTCCTAATGGGAAAGTTTGGGGCTTCAGTGGCAGTAGAAACAGTACTTTGTCTTCCATATGCATCTGAAATTTAAAGGGCCACATATCTGTCAAATATCCCTTTGTTGTTTGGGCTTCTGAGCTTCTCAGATCCTTGTGCTCCCAGATTGATGTCTTAGCAGAGCCATTTAAGATGAAATTTCCAGGGCTTGCTGAATAAGGCAGGTTAGCATCTGACTTCATTAAAGAACACTCAGTGCTAAAAGGACCTCACACTAGTGCCATTTGGTCTCTTAATGGGATATTAATTTTCCTTATAGACACAAGCGCCTAGGCTTGTTGTCAGGAGTTTGACAGTGATTGGATGTGTAATGAGGAGATCACAATGAGGAGATCACAAGTCCTCATGTGTAATGAGGACTTCTGCCCCCCAGCATATGCACATGTCTGTATTGAAGAGCAGTAGTTTAATATCCTTTTTTTTTTTCTTTTTTCCTTTTTTTTTTTTTCCCAAAGATTTATTTATTTATGTGTACAAGAGCTAGGGTACAGGCCAGAGATGAGAGGATTCACCAGAGACAGAGTGGGGAACAGAACAGGCAGACTGAAATACACTGCTGAGGGGAGCAGCGGGCGAGACAGGAAAGGTCTGCTTGGTCATGTGGGTTTCTCTCTGGCCATCCGGGGATGGGATCGAACTCGTGCTGCAGAGGCTGAGGATTGCTTCATAGTGTGGTGTTTAACCCTTTATGCCACAGGGACGCCCAGTTTCATATTCTTAAGATGCAGGTCTGTTAGTGATCAGGCACAAGATTGCATCATCAGGCAAATGTTCTTCATCTTTTCTTTAGAATGGTAAAGTCCTGAAACAGTCCCAAACTTTTCCAGCCCCTCCTAGATTCTGACTTGGTTGTGGAGTTAGTGTGGGAGGCTCAGCCATAACTTAAAAAGTGCTGACCCAGGCTTTGAATCTAGCTCTGTTCTCATTTGCTTTGGGATTTTGTGGGCATTCTCTGAGCTAGCTTTCCCATCTGTAAAGTGGGGTTGATGCCAACTTTCAAAGCCTACTAGAATTAAATGTGACTTAAGATCTAACATAAGCCCTGGTGCAAGGTAGTTACTTAAATGAGTGCTTGCTTTTATATACAAACTTTTAATGATTCTCTCTTTTCTTGGGGCACAGTGCCTAAGGATTTGGTGGGGCCTAAAATATAACTCTTCCCTTGATGGGAGTTCACAAAGATAAATACAGTCCAGGAAAGTAACTGCTGACATACAGTGAGGAAGCTGGAAGTTTTGTGGAGGAAGTAAGCTGGAACTTGAAGGGTGACAAGGAGTTAGACAAGCAAAGAATTGGGAGTGGGCACAGACTTACACAGCTTTGGCAACAGTAGCTTGGAGTAGCCATAGCTAAGGGGAATGGGTGGAGGTAGATGGAGTTTGTTATTAGTCCTTAGATCCAACTTAGCCCTGAAGTAAAAGTTTTGGTGAGGCATGCCTTGATAATTAAAGCTCTAAATGAGAGCTTCTCAGCAGCAATACTGTTGACATTTGGCATTGGCTAATGCTTTGTGTTGTGGAACTGTGTTACCCATTGAAGAATGTTTAGAATCTAAATGCAAGTAGCACCTTCTGTGACAACCAAAAATGTTTTCAAACATTGCTAAGGTTCCCTGGGGGACAGACTCATCCCTAGTTGAGAGCCATTGCTCTAGGGTTCTGGATACTCCCATTAATTGAAGTTTTCTGAAAAACCTGCTTCCTAAGCACTCTCACCTTACTTGATGTGCAGGAGGGGAACACCTGCCTGTTAGTGTGCCTCTCTTCAAATCCTGCTTGGGCTCTTTCCCAAGCACTTAAGAGGCGATGCCTTCTTTTATTTCTTGATGTGTACCCCAGCCCTGCGGTGATGGAAGGGGGAAGCTGATGAAATCTGATTCTCTGTGGATTGGTAGGGGTTCTGGCAAATCTCATCTGATTCAGATTTCAGTTATTGGTGGCAGTATGGTGTCTATACCCATCAAAGGCAACATGTCAGGAATACAGTTTTATATTAACAGTTATTAGGGGCCTCCCCGGTGGCGCAGCGGTTGAGCGCTGGGTTGCGAAGCTGCCCGCGGCCTCTGCGTCGCCGGTTCGATCCCCGGCTGCTCCCCGGCCACAGGAGGAGGGTCCCACATGGCGCGCAGACCTCTCCTGCCGCCCGCTGCTCCCCTCAGCAGTGTACTTCGGTCCTTCTGCCTGTTCTGCTCCCCGCTCTGGCTCTGGTGAATTCTCTCACCCTCCCGCACTTCTGACTATACCCAGTGATGTATAAACAAACAAACAAACAAATAAATAAATAAACATGCCTCTATTAAAAAAAAAAAAAAACAGTTGTTAGTGTGTGGCAAACATTGATGCAGTAGTGTCCACAAACGTGGGCATTTAGAGCAGGGTCTCAGACTGTTTTTAAGTGCGCATTATCCTTCTTTGCAAACCCTGTTGACAGCTTTTTTGTTTTGTTTTGTAACCTGCTGGGTGGGTTCTCAATGTTTTCTAGGGTAATAAATACCATTTACCTTATCTTCATAGCAGTTCATCCCACATTTCTTCCTTCTATTCCCTGTAGGTTAAATAGACAGATTAAAACTGATTTTAGTTGCATTAATTAGACTAATTATCAAGGCTAATTGCTTACTTGCTGCTACTTTTAATCACTGCTGCACGGTCTGTCGTTGCTCTGGCCACGTGCCCAGAGACCCAGGCCTTGGCCACTGTCTGAAAATGACTGTCGCTCAGCCTGTGACTTCCAGTTAACAGTTGATATTGGATGAAATGGATACCCCTTTCAATTTTGGACTAAGGGCTGATCTTGTTGAGCTGACTGGAAGCAAAATTTAGCTTTTTGGCTTAAAATAGTTTGGAAAGTAGGGCAGATAGGTCCTGGGCCACATCTCTTATGTGGAGTCTTCTGATTCCATGGCAAGGGGAGGAAACTCAGGATGAAGTCAAGGTTGCACATTCTCAGCAGCTGTGGGCTTGGGGTTCTCCCAGGCCTGACAAGAAGGCAGAGGAAAACAGAGGAAGCTAGCAGGCAATCCATGTTCTTAATTGTGGACATCAGGGAAAATAAATAGGCCACAGAAATTTCAGGACTGCATGCACCTGGGCAGTTAGTATGCAGATGTGACTGAGATAAAGTGGGAACTTTCTGGGGGCATAGGCTGATCTCTGTCCATGGGGTGGTGAGTATGCATGTGTCCTTTGCTGAGGCCAGTGATGAGGCCCTCAGGACAGATTGGACCTTGTCTCCAGGCAACATATGTGGGCTTCTTCCTACTCCCTCATTACTGAACCTACCCCCATCCTTCCCCCCACCCCCAAATGCACAAATCAAAAGAAAACACAGTATAGAATAGACACACTGAAACTAAGAGTTTGGAGTTCCAGTGCCACCACTTTCGTTGTTTGTTACCTAACTGTTCTGGATCTTAGTTTTCCTAAGCTGCAAAGCAAGGCAGTTCATGCCATTGAGTTGTTATTGAAGGTTGACTATGTTTTGCACTAGGGAATGCTTGATGTTTAGGTAAAATATGCTCAGCTCCTCCATATTTATATTGTGACGTACAGAATTGGAACGCAGAGCAAATTGACCTTTTTCTGAATTCAGAAAGCCCCAGAACTTCTCATAAAGTTAGGCCACATGTCTTCTTGGAGGTTTCAATCTGGTTATAATTTGAGCCTGCACTCACAATCCTGCCTCTGTTAGATGGCTGGCCTGCTCTTCTCAAAAACTTAAGTTTAGTTCCACAGGTTATCAGTGGTGAGACAGTTCATGGTGACTACCCAGAGAAGATAGACCCATTTGGAAGCAGGCTGTCACCGGGTCAAGATCTTGGCCATTCCCTCCATCCCAGACAGGGTAGATGGGGAATGGTAGTCATCTTGGAAATGTGCATTAAAAATTCAGTCTCCTGGATTAGACTGTCCTTACAGAACTGTATAGTCCTGCATAGTATCTTCTTATAAAGAGTTTTTCAGACTTCTCTTTTAACCTGCACCTAATCCTCTGAAGAAGAGCTTGCAGTTATCTGTTTTGCAGATGTGGAAACTAGAACTTCAAAGCAGTAGAACTGTTGAACACAACATACATTTTATTTAGTGTCCATTGTATGCAGAGATGAGTAAGGTCTTTGCAGAACTTTGTCTTGTAGGGAAGACACAACTTCCATAAGGCCAAATGTAGTGGTAGAGATACATGTAAGTAGTAGCGGGGGAAACCGCTACTACTGGAGAGGGATGGGTGGGAGGAGGGGGAGTTAAAGAAATAGGGGATAAGACTGATGAGAGTTGCTCTGAGGCATAGAGGTAATAGGTGATAGTCAGATTCTGTCACTCTTGATTATTGCATAACATACTAGACATTGCTGCGTGAGATTGTATGGAGGGGGCGGGGGGTGTTTGCCGTGGAGTGGTTCAACCTAGGGAGCAGACAGACTGACCAGCAAAAAGCATTTAGGTATTTCCTTTTCTCCTTCCCCTATGAAAACAAAGGAGCTGAAAGCACTGGAACTTTTCTTCATGCCAAGGGTAGGGCTGGACCCAGGACATATTAAGTTTCAAGCTGGCAGGCTAGGGCTTTCAAACAGTTTCTCTTGTAGCAAGTAGGTTTCTTAGCTGTAAATAACTTTCTGTGGTCTCTGCTGGACATTTTCTGTTGAAGTTTGACCTGAAAAGTGTCAACCTTGGTCGGGACTTTGAGCCTTCTGCTCCCAGAGGGACCTGATACTGAGTAGAGTTCAGTAGCTGTATCACAGCTGCCAGGAAGTTCTAGAAGACCAGTGTTAATGAACTCTTCTGGTGGGAACAGTGCCAAGATCTTTTTTTTTTTTTTTAATTTTTGTGTAGAAGAACTGGGGTGTAGGCCAGAGGTGCAGGGGGCTGGGGTGTGAGAGGATTCACCAGAGACAGTAGGGAGCAGAACAGGCAGATTTAGTGAACTATATTGCTAAGAGGAGCAGCAGCCAGGGATCAAACTCAAGCCGTAGAAGTGGTAGTGCTGAGACTTAACCCCTAGGTCACCAGGAAGGTCCTCCCAAGATCATTTTTGTGGGTCTTTGCAGCCCTACCTCTGCACTAGTTAATCTTAGATCTGGTCTTAGTGGCAGGAACCTGGCATGGCTTGTTCTTCATTCTAGAACACTTTGGGGGGAGGCAGGTGAGTGCAGTCAAGATTAGATACAGGTCTGGATTTACCCGTAACTTCATTAAGGGAAGTGGTTCCTTGTTGGAGATGGGAAGAGAGGCCCTTCATACTGTCTATAACATATCAATTAGATTGATAACACTTGTTAAGAGTAGGGAAGGTTGTCTGTAGCCAGTACTCTGCCCTTGAAATATGCCTTGGTGTGCCTTTGGGAAATTGGACTTCATTCTTTGGGGGGAAGTACTGTGTTTATATGTAGGGCTGTTTTGCAGCCCAGACTTACACTCCCCTACTGTGGAGTGACATAAGTATAAATTGAGACCTAGAGGTCCTAGCCCTGAGAACGGGTCTCAAGAGGCCTCTGCTGCTGGCAGATCCCTCCTGGGGGTCTCCAGATCATGTCTTTTTGGCACATGCTAAACCCCAGGCTCTGACTTGCTCCGAGGTGCTCCGGGTTCTCTGACTTGTCAAGTGCTTAGTAAATGAGAGGCACCCTGTGTTTATCTAAATTTTCACAATGACCTCTGTATAGGTTTCCTACTACCCTTTCCAGAGGTGCCAGTCACATAATCCTGTAACTTTAATTCTGCCTGGAAGGAAAGAGATGATGTCCCCCTTTTAAAATCTAAGTCATCACTGGCCGCAAAAGAATACCTAAGTTAGAAAGCACAGCACAGTGAACACCCTATATACTTACACTTGAAGAAATCTAGGTTCGGGCCCAGCAAGTGACCTGACTTGTACATGACACAAAGTTTGTAGGTAGCAAAGCTCAGATTCAAATCCAGGTCTCTTCACCTTCTCAATCTCATTGTGGGTTTGCAGATATTAATAGGTTCTTTGAGAAAATATTCTTTGGTCAGTGCTCAGTTAAAGTCACTAGATTCTTTTGCTGTAGTAACTCAGATCCTTAACATACTAATACTTTTTAAACTCATTATTTTATACAGCATTGCATAGCAATAACTAATATTCTGAATCATTACATTAACTTGACTGTGGACATTTGTTCATAGTCTCTGGTGGGATTGGTGTTCACAGAGAAAACTGAAAACGCTCTGGTCTAGGGGCAGCTTAGAGGGAAAGCCTCTAAAATAAAGCTTCCTTTCTTTACCCTTGGTGTGATTTCAAATCAGATTTCCAAATCAAAGGTACTGCCCTCAAACTTTTTAGCTTTTTATTTGCTCTTGCATCCAGTTCTTGCCTGCAGTTGGAATAGAGTGGCCATTTCAAGGAGTTCTCCAGGCCTGTAGTGTTTCTAATGGTTAATTGTGTCTTTACAAAGGAACTAATTAGCAGCCATGGAGAGGAATATTGGTGGTGGTGTGCTGTCAGGGGGAATCCTGAGCAGGAGCAGAAGAGTGAAGAATGAAAAGGTGCTCGCCTTTCACTGGCCCTATGGTTGGGTGTTTTTTGCAGTGGAGAACTGCCTTAGTTCCTCGTGGAGGAACTTGGGATGGGGGTGCCTCTCAGGTGCCATGGTCCCAGTGAGGGGACTCTGGAAGGTGAGTTTTTGCTTCCAGAGTTTCAAGTTAGAAACATGTTAACTGTAAAGAGGACAGTCATCTACTCACAATCATTGTGAGTACTTTAAATTTTAAGATTTGTGTAATTTGATGAAAATAAATAAATATTTGAGTGTGATGGAATTTCTTAAAATATCCCAAACACAGCTGTCTTCAAGAATTTGGATCCCCCAAGTGGAAGTTTTGGGAAACCTTTTTTTTTCAAGTTGCCAGATTCTCTTTTTTGAACCATAGCAGTCTTAGGTCTCTCCGGTGTCTCCGTGCTGTCAGCATCTCACTTGGCTTTCTCTGCATGCTGAAGAGTAAGGGGGATAGGAAGAAGAGGACATGGGTTCTTGTCTTCTCACTAAGGTCTGAACTGAGTTACTCCAGCTCCTTCCAAAATAGCAAGAGGTATACGGTCAAGTCCTTCTTTTAAAGAAAAGGACTCTTTAAAAGGAGGACTCATGGCCTGTGCATGAAAATTCCTGCTTTGGCTTCTGCTATAAGGCCTGCCTTTGCTTTGTCCCAGGTTTTTCTTTGAGTGCTTTCTGAATAAAAGTGTCCTGGAGCTTAACATTTCTCATCCATGTAGATTCTTGAACCTTTCAGCAGTGGGACAGAGGGTCAGCCATAAAACCTGGACTATAGTTCTGTCTTATTACCATCCCACCCCACCCCCCAACCCCTGACTTTGGTTGTCTATCTGCTCTCCATGCTCACTTGCTCTGTGTTTATTTTCAGTGGATATGCTGCTGATGAAATCACTCACTGCATACGGCCTCAGGATATCAAGGAACGCAGAGCAGTCATCATCCTCAGGAAGTAAGTGTTCTGGAATTTGGTACCTGCAGGCCTGTCTGGAGATACAGGTCTGGGTCCTGTTAGAACTTGACTCCTCTGTGTCAATAGGTTGCCATGGCAAAGTCTAGGCGAGGAAAAGACTATGAAGTCTTTTTCGTTGACTTCTATGAGGATAATGCTGTGTTGTCTTTCACTTCATCAGACTATTAAATGCTATAATTTAATTTAGGGCTGAGCCAAAACACAAGGTCCCAGTATTTATGAGTACAATCTTATGATTTGGGGGGCTTTCTTCCAGTTCCTTCCCCCCCTTTTTCTGCACTTTCTTGATTCTGATTTATTGCATGTGTTCTTAATGATTATTTTCAGACTGTGCCATAGCAGTATGATTTTAAAAATGCCTGGATTTTCATTTCTGTGAGAAGTAGAAATGAAGGTGGGTGAGTAGGCTGCAGTGTTCAGCAGGGACGTATATCTTATGGCTTTCCCTCCTTCTGGGGAGGGAGTCAGGGGAGTACTGACCCAACATTGCCAAACATGGTCTCACCATTACTTCTTTTTGCTCATGGTGTGACTGGACTAAAGTGAGAAGACACTATCTCATGACAAGACGGCTTTTTGATTTTTTTGTTGTTGTTGTTTGTTTGTTTATTTTAAAGATTTATTTATTTATGCATATAAGAATTGGGGTACAGGCCAGAGGTGCAGGGTGGGTGAGAGGATTCATTAGAGACAGTGGGGAACAGAACAGGCAGACTGACTGAAACACACTGCTGAGGGGAGCAGTGGGCGAGACAGGAGAGGTCTGCTGCACCATGTGAGTAGCTCCCTGGCTGGCTGGGGATTGAACTCTTGTGCTGCAGAGGCTGTGGATAGCTTCACAGTGCTGTGCTTAACCCCTTGTGCCACCAGGGAGGCCCACGACTGCTTTTTGAATGGAGTTCCAAGAGGCTTATTGCCCAGGGTTGCATAGACAGGCAGATCAGGACTGGTGCCTAGACCTAGCCTAGAGCAGAATGTCCTATAACTGCCACCTTTTTTAGTTTGTTTTTTATTTTTAGAACAGTACCCTGCACCTCATTTCCCCTGTTGTTAACATCTTATGTGAGTGTTTATTACAGCAAGAAACCAATGTTAATACATTATTATTAACTGTCCCCATGCTTTATTCATATTGTCTTCTTTCCTGTACTTTTTTCTGTTTTTGGACCCCACATTAATTTTAGTTGTCATGTCATCTTAAGCACCTCTTTACTATGAGTTCTTCAGTCTTGCATTGTTCATAATAACATTGATTAGTGAGGTATTTCATAGATAATCTCATAGTTGGGATTTATGTGATCATCTCCCCGTTAGCAGGGATTATGGGTTTTTGGGAAGAAGATCACCAAGATAAAGTGTTCATCTCAAGTCATATCCAGGGCACAGGAATTAACTAACCAGTGTTGATGTTGACCATGATCACCTTGCTAAGGGTACATCCATCAGGTTTCTGCATTGTGAAGTTGCTACTTTCCCTTCTCCATATACTGTTCTCTTGGGAGGGAGGTCCCTAATTGCAGCCCACACATAAGGAGTGGGAGTTAACACCAACCCCTTTAAAGGGTTATATAGTAACACATTATTTGGGATTCTGCACAGGTTATTTTCTCTTCTCTCCCATTTATTTCTATATGCAGTCATTTGCTTATATCAGTATAGACTTGTGGGAATTTATTTTCTGCTTAACAACTACTTTTTTTTTTTTTTTTTTTAAGATTTATTTATTTATGCATACAAGAGCTGGGGTACAGGCCAGAGATGCGGGGGGGGCGGGGGGAGAGGATTCACCAGAGACAGAGTGGGGAATAGAACAGATAGACTGACCAAAGTACATTGCTGAGGGGGGCAGCGCCGAGTCGGGAGAGGTCTGCTGTGCCATGTGGGTTGCTCCCTGGCTGGCCGGGGATCAAACTCGTGCTGCAGAGGCTGCAGATTGCTTCATAGTATGGTGCTTAACCCCTTGTGCCACCAGGGAGGCCCTATGCTTAACAACTTCTAACGTTGAATTTTCTTTTCTGCCTTACCATCTATTTTAACTTCAGCTGATAATTTGGCATCTTGGCACTTTGGGCCCAGAACTCCAGAATAATGTAGTTGTAAAGTCTCTTTGGCTTTGCTCTGCCACTTTGTGAAGTCAAAACTTTCGGTCTCTGTTTTGTCATCTGTAAAGTAGAGATGATCCAGACCTGTGCTGGAGAGTAGCTCTGAGCACATCCGGGAGCTCCAGACGTGAGACAGCTTGGCAGCAGGCAGCCTTTCTTAGTCTAAGAATTTTCCCAGAATTTATCAGAAAGATTTTTTTGTTACTACCTTTCCACTTTGTTTTCCTGTGGTTCGCAGCATAGGCCAAGACTCAGAATCAATAAGTGATGGAGCCCTGGATGTAGCTCGTTCTGACCTTTCCTCTCTAGTCATATCTAATTGGACTTTACCTGGCACCTCAAACTACACAGGGACAGGGGCCTACCAAGCCAAGAACCTGGAGAAAAACTCCCAGGGTGACAGAAGACCAGAACAGTAACTTGCCAGGTAGTCTCTCCCAGCTTCTCACAACAGTAAGCTTATCCCAGGGAAATCTTTATTGGAGATGTCTATAGCCAGAATTTCAGGTCACCCTTCAAGCTATTTCTTTCCTATTCATCTTTCAATATCTGGCTGTCCAGGCTGGATGAGTCAGATGCTTCTCAGTGGAGGTAGGCATCTACCCTACACTGTTAATCAGCTGCCCTGCAAGCTTTTTGGCTAACTGGTCCCTTGGCAATAGTCTGAGTTTAGAGAGTGGCTATGTAGGTAGCTGAGACTTTGACTTTCTGGCTTGAGTGGGCCCAGGAGCCAGCCAGGGATTGGCTAGAGATAAGTGTGTGTCTTTGGTGTGAAAAATGGGAAAATGTCTCCAAACTTCCCTGGTCAGCTCAATTGGGGAAAGTACCCAGCTATAGGGAGCCAACCCAGAGGACCTGAGGAAAGGCATTTCTTACCTTGGGATAAAATTCAAGATTCTCATTGGAACTTGTCGGGGCTTTGCTTATCTATCTAGCCTGTTCTCTTGGTGTTTTCCCTTTTCCATTCCTTATTTATATAAGAACTGCAGCTTCTGGTAGGTCTTTATCCTTGACTCTTACAGTAATGTGGTCTATAATGGGAATACTTTCCTATCTAACATGTTCATCTTTTGATCTACACCTCACCCCTAAAGGACCCACATATATACACGTTGAAAAGTGATTGACTAACCTAGCCATTTTTCAAGGCTTAAGTATTAATCTGTAGTCATCTCAGTGTGCACCCCCACCCTCCTTTATACTATCACAGCCCATATACTTGCCATTGAGCATTTCAGAATCCCACCCAGTTCTCTAGGGGTATGGAAATCATTGTTCATCTACTTGAGACCCAGTCTAGAGGAGACATCAGAGGAGGACAGTTGAGATGATGAGGAACAGCTTCATAGTAGCTGTCATGGCTTGTCTTGGAAAACGACAACCTGGTGACAAGATTAAAAGGGGACTATCTTGGCCCAGGTACTGACCAGACATCAAGGATGTGGCCTTGGTGGGTGCTTGGAAGATAGGATGTGTTCTGGTAAGATCATGTGCATATGGGTAGAGTCTGGGCATTGAGCCTTGCCCTGTTCCTCATTAGCAGAAAGGATGGCACCAGCCCTGCTAGCTCTTTTAAGTTCAGGTGAAGATTACATAGATTGCTGAGGGAGGGCTGGGGCGCTTGTCACTGCTCAGGTCAGTCAGAGATGGGATGGTCTTTCTAAGGACTTCATGGAGGGCAACAGTTGACTGGTTGCCGAGCGCTTTCTCCTTTAATAAAATGTGGTTCTGGGCCTCGCTGGTGGCGTGGGGGTTTCGATGCAACCTATGAAGCTATCTGTAGCCGCTACAGTACAAGTTCGATCCCCGGCTGACCAGGAAGCTAACCACATGGCGCAGCAGACCTCTCCTGACTTGCCTGCTGCTCCCCTCAGCAGTGTATTTCAGTCACTGCCTGTTCTGTTCCCCACTCTGTCTCTGGTGAATCCTCTCACCCCCCCCCACCTCTGGCCTGTACCCCAGCTCTTAGATGCATAAATAAATCTTGGGCCTCCCTGGTGGCACAAGGGGTTAAGCACCGCACTATGGGGCAGTCCACAGCCTCTGCAGCATGAGTTCGATCCCCAGCCGGCCAGGGAGCAACCCACATGGCGCAACAAACCTCTCCTGTCTCACCCGCTGCTCCCCTCAGCAGTGTATTTCGGTCAGTCTGTCCTGTTCCCCACTCTGTCTCTGGTGAATCCTCTAAACCCCCTGCTTCTATAGCCTGTGCCCCAGCTCTTGTATGCATAAATAAATAAATCTTTTAAAAATAAACAAACAAACAAATAAATAAATTTTAGGGGGGAAAAATGTGGTTCCGTGGAATGTGCATGGTGCTGAGGCTTTATACACACGGCGCCATTGTTTCTCACTGGGAGACTGGGAAGTGACCTGAAAGCTTCCCCAGGAGTGGAATCCTCGGGCTTAAGATTATGGTGTATTTGTATTCACAACCAGTAAATGGCTGAGTAAGGCTTTGAATTTGGGTCTCCTGATGCTGGGTCTTGTGGTCTCTTGTCCATAGTGGAGTACCCCAAACACTGTCCCTTTCCCAGCATGCTCTGAGGTGGGTGTATTAGTTTAAGAAATGAGCTTAGATATTGAAAGGCTTTCTTGTCTCTGCTGTGCCAGTATAGAACTGATTGGTGAGATTGTTTTAAGTGGCAAGGGGGCTACAATACAGACAGTGGGGGAGGAGTGTGGGCCGCAACTGCAGCAAACCAAACAGTTCCTTGAGGCACCTCAGGATCCTCCCAACTTTCCTGAATGTCCCCATTTTCCAGCCCACCCAGGGCAAGCTGCCCACAACACACATCATTTCAGTCAGGGAATCGGAACCTAACGTTTTTGAAAATATGGTTGAAGTTTTAGGTTGCTGGCTAGAAAAGCAAGAGA